TTCTTGTTGAGTGAAGCATTCTTAAATCTTTTTTTTACCACAATGCATCCCAGCATCAAACAGGCCTGCAATATTAACATTGAGACTTTCATATTGAGTTAATTGAAGGGTGAGCTCAAATTGGCAGCTTATTATTTGGTTAAAGAGTTTTAAGAAAGAGGTTGGGGACTCAAATTCAAAGGTGTATATACCTTTAGGAATATACCTAAAGGAATATTTACAAAGAGTGGATATATGAAAGGTTGTAATTGGTCTTTTTGGGATTGATCTATGAATTTGTAACATTCCTATTGATTATTTATATAATCGTTATTTTATTTTACATTTTGAAACCACCTGAAATAAAAAAGGGGTATTATTAAATACTTTAGTAACATAAGCAAAACACTAAAATCCCAATTCATTATTGTGTATTTTAATACATTTTAAGCTTAAGGGACCCAAGGAAAGTAGTAACAATCACAGTTACAAAAATTAAGTTAAAGTGAGTAAATAAACACACTTAGCTCACAACATATGGGAAAATAAAAAGTTTATTAAGAACTTAGAGGGTTCCCTTATAGAGTGTATCTAAAAAGCAAAAGGTCAAAAGCGCTACAGACTATTTCGATTTTATGGTGACTTTAAAATGCTGACAACGTATTGTTCATTGCTAGTTGATGATGTCTAATGGATTAACTCATGTTACCTTATTTCTATGTTATTGTATTTACTTCTAGATGGTTTTGATATTTGGAGGTTAATTGTTGTGAATAACAGTAGAAAGACAGTGCATTAGATCATGGGATGCTGCAGACATCTGAGTGGGTGTTGAGTGAGTGGAAAGAAACAGCAGCAGTAGGAAGAAAAGGGAATGGATGAAGAAGAAAAAAAACCTGGATACAGTATGTGGCAAAGCCCAGTGGAAAACAGAGAGAAGGAGAGAGAGAGAACACACACTAAAACAGGAGAGTAAGTTTGAGTGACCAAATCATAATTCAAACCTCTGTGGCAGATTTCAGTTTTAGAAAATTATATTTCTCCTGGGGAAGTGAGCATGAATGAGGCAGTAAGTAATTATGGTAATATGAGTAGGAAAACAGCAAGTCTCATCTGTATTTACTGGTGCAGCAGTGATGGAAAAAATCCTCGGAAAACAGCACGAGAGAGCAAGATCTTCTGACAAAGAACATAAGCATTATCAATGTAACACCTCCACGTCCCCAGAGAGAAAATTCGCCATTAACCTCGTTAGAAGCCCGATCTAAAAAAATGTGCTTGTTTGCCAGACTGTGAGAGTAGACAGTATTACTTTTGCTCTTTTGCGCAAATCCGCAGCCCACTCCAAATCTCTCCCAGATTGCCAATAGCGCAAGCTGTGTAGTCCTGCCAGATAAACAGAATCTATTGGATCAGGCAGATTTCAGGGCTGTGGCTTCACACATGGCGGCTTCTGTGCCCCAGATTCTCTCGCAGACATTCAATCCTTTTCAGTTTTGTTTTTCAATGTCCCACCTTCTTTGTCTCATTCATCCGAGATACAAAAACATAACAGTTTGCTTATATTTCATACATAGCTGCATCCAGGGCAGCATGATGTGAGTATTCTTAAAGAGCACAAATAAAGTGTAGTATCTTTTACTGTACAAAACATGGGGGAGGGAGGGGATGCTGGCCGCAAACCGAATGCGCCAGAGGAAACCAAATGAAAACGTTCAGAGTTTGGTGGATAATACCAAAGTACACAGCATCATCTACATCTGAGATCAGATGCAGTGCTGCATTGCGCCATCTCACTCTTTAAAGCGGAACAGGCAACATGGTTCAAATAGTGATTTGGTCTCATGACCATGCACAAAAAAAAATGGACAGATGGGTAACTTTGTGGTTAAACGGCATCCAAGGAAACAGAAGTGAAAGGGAGACACAGAAGGAGAAAAAAAAAAGAAAAGCCAGAGGGTGAGAAAGTGAGATGAACTGGACAGGGATGGCAGGAGGGTGAGTTTGCTCATCTGATTATGTAAGCACCCGGCTCTTCGACACATCGCCTATTTTTAGCCCGCTCCCATGTCTCGTCCTATCATCTGCTCTATTAGTTATTGGATGTCTGTGACTCCGCCATGTCATGATAATTATGTAATACGTGGTACTCAAACACACCCATTCAGGGGCACACATCTCACAGCAGTCTGGAAGACATTTGCGCGCTAATGATGTGTACAGTGCACTGAAGTGTGACAACACGCACACACACACGGCAAAGCCCGGAGGTGCTTTGTAAGCTAATTAGACAGAGGCTGTGACTATACTTCACTCTACAAGAAATTACCCTGTTTACTTTTTTTGTGTGTTTCAGTGCACATAATTTCAAAGACAAAAATTTAGTTGGTAATCTCTCATCTTCCTCTGAAATGACTCATCTTTTTGGGTGATGTTACCAAGAACTCTTATTTTTTGAGCCCTTCACTCGACCACCTGGCATAAGAGATCACTTTTCAGAATCCAATCAGTTCCTCTTTTTCTCATTAAAGGGATAGTTTACCCAACAATTAACTGTTCGTAACTCAATTTACATTTCTCAATAGCTACATTTACATGCAACCAAGATTGATGGCTCAATCAGACTGAAAAGCCTTCAAGTACTGTTAACACGTTAAATGTTAAGATTGAGCTCGATCTGAATTAAATTTTGATCCGACTGAAAGGGGTGGTGTAGACCTTGAATAATCTGGGGGGGCATGTAAAAAAGCATGTAAACCCTTAAATCGGACTATTTTCTGAATATTTACTAAATATTGATAAGATGTCATCATGGCAAAAATGACAATTATACTTGTGGTAGCTCCGGTGACTATCGCGATTCTGAACACGACCAATGAGGACTAAATATGCGCTGTTTTGTTCGGAATACATGTAATGCACATGCAAACGGAAATGTGAATCAGATTGCAATGTTTACGGTTAAAATAAACAGATCTTTCAGAATGTGAAATCAGATTGGATTCAATCCAGACATGTACACAATATATAGTGCTCTTGTTAAATGGAAGAAATTGCAACACGCAATATGGCGGCTCTAGAAATGCAAGTCCCACCTTCCAAATAAAAGAGCCAATGCAAATGAGTAAAGTTATCTCATCACTGAAGCTGCTGTTAGAAGCTCTGGTTCTCGTAGAAACCCAAGACTTGTGCTTTGACTGCACATGGGCATATTTTTTTTTTAGCATAAGAAACAACATTTATGAAACCGATTTTATTACCGATTTGAAATTTAGGTTTGTTCATCATTTGTTCCAAACCTGTATGACTTTCTTCTGGAACACAAAATAAGATATTTTGATTTTTTAAAATATATTTTATAATATAGAATTGTATGGGAAACAAACATTCTTTAAAATATATTCTGTGCTCCGCAGAAGAAATAAAGTAATACAGATTTGGAACAACACGAGAGTGTACTATAAAAGATGACAGTTTTATTTTTTGGGTGATCTACAATTTTAAATATACTGTTTCACTAAAGAATCTGTCATATTACAGAAGTAAAATGAGATGTGGATACCATTTTATGTTGACAGGATCAGGAACCTCGAAAATCCCTTTAAGTGCACTTAAACAAACTACAGTTATGCTGCAGGAAATGTCCACATATCATGTGTGTACGATCATGAAAGGGAACGGGAACGGGAAATAACCCAAGCCAGACCCAGAAACTCCAATCACATTGTGTGTGTGCTAACCACTGCACTGTGGCTCCAACAAAACAGTCTATTTTTATTTCAAATAGCTTGTTTTCAAGCACTCCATCCAGTGTATGGTAAGGACCTAGACTGCAGTGTGCTACAGTTCAAGCCCAACATATGAGGAGGCAGTCCAAATCTGCTAGGAAATGAGGATTTAATCCACTTAATGGGGAGAGGTTCCATGTAAAAGCTGCAGCTCCAGGGCTAGAAGTATGTAGAAGAGAGAATAAGCCAATATACTCGAAATGCAATAGACAACAGTTCATGTACATCTATCTATCTATCTATCTATCTATCTATCTATCTATCTATCTATCTATCTATCTATCTATCTATCTATCTATCTATCTATCTATCTATCTATCTATCCATCCATCCATCCATCCATCCATCCACCCAAGACACACCCACCTATCTATCCATCCATCCATCCATCCATCCATCCATCCATCCATCTATCTATCTATCTATCTATCTATCTATCTATCTATCTATCTATCTATCTATCTATCTATCTATCTATCTATCTATCTATCTATCTATCTATCTATCTATCTATCTATCTATCTATCTATCTATCTATCTATCTATCCATCAGTTTGAGCTAATCACAAAGATCTTAAGAATCTATCACAGCATCCAAGAAGTCATCTTTACCTATATTGTGGAAAGAAATGTCATTAAATGGGACAGATACTAAAACAAAATGTGTTAACGAAACATAACTAACCTTAACTGAAACGAAATGGCTTTTTTTTCTAAATGGATTTCCGCCAAATGCATCAGCAAGTTTTAATGGCATTTTGGTGCTGTTGTGTAAATGGTAGCAATACAGATAAATGATGGAAAGACACTGCATGTGTGAACAGCAGATGTGGTACATTTACCAGAAAATATAGCCAGCTATTTTTACTGCAATTTAACGGGTTTCATGTGTGAAAGTGGCTATTGTTTATCATTCATATGTGCAAAATTCATATTAAACAAATGCAAACATTTATGAGAAGACGTTAATAGTTTTGAATTTATTCAAAGCTAAAGTTTTTCAGCAGAAGCCTAAAAAAAAGACAGCCTTTTAAAGCTTGATGAGAGCACATCCACGCAATTAAGTTAATTGACATTAATAAACTACACACAATCTTACTTTATTTTTCATTAAACAAATGTTTTAGTTTATTTTTCAGAAAGCACATTAGGGGGTCCAGAGAGTGCACAGCATATGGCTTACATTATTTATAGACACAGTTTGGCATATAAATAGAAATAAAAACCAAGATATAAGAATAAAACACTTTATTTATTTAACATTGATCAACAAGAGAGTCCACATCACAAAAATTACATCAATGCCAAGACCTTTGCAGAGGTCATAAATCACTGTCTTAAATAACCGCCGTTACAATCAGTCACAAAAATGAACCCTTGGAACAAAGGCTCTTAGAAAAATGAAAATGGTCTCATTAAACATCAGTGAAGTCCTGCCATTTTAAAGGTCTTTGTGTGAGTGATGTCTTTAAAACTTTTAACCACTTAAAAGAGGGAAAGTGCTTTGCTTTTAAGTGTCCTTGAACAAACATAAATCTATGAACACAACACCGATGTAAGTCTTGGCAATATTTAATTTGAAGTCATTGTATGGGTTATTTTTATTTATTTACCGGTCTCTGCTCTTCAACATAACAATATAACCTATGTACAGAATAGCAAAAAAAGGTTGCTCTGTTCGAGTTGTTAAAACAGAGTCACACGTCATGCATACATTTAAGGCACTTCGATGCGAACGCATATATCACATATCAATTTCAATATTCAATAGTTTTGTCTAGTAAGTGTTCCAAGAAGCCAAACTGTTTATTTCAAAAGTGATAATGATCACTGCACTTTTATAACGCGACACGTTTCCTCATATTTACCACTATACACATGTCCCAAAAAAACAACTTGATAATATTAAATAGAAAAGATATTCAAGGTATCTTTGAGTATTGAGTAAACTAATGCAGAACAACTCAAACTACTTTACTAAAATCATGAGACATGCATTTTAAAAGAAGACAACACAAACGGTCACAATGATGTACGAATACTCTCCCAGGCAAAACTATATTTACATTTCCAAACTTTAAAAGTGCAGGCTCTTTATATGTATATAGCACTTCTTAGCTTATACTTGAACTTAACTCTTGTGCTAGCAACATCTGTGTTTTGGGATACAGTATATACTCTCTCAATGTCTTTAGTGTGAAGAAGGATGGAGGAGCGACAAGCAGTGCCATTGTGAAAGAGCCGCCGGGACCATGGATACCATGTATAGAGAAGTAAGAGGGTTTTTCTTTTCGGAGTTACAGTATCTCCACATAGTTTTCAGGGATGAGTCCTCGCTTTCCCTCCAGCACACCCTCCAGCCATCCGGGCTCCCTGGAGAGTGTCACTGCAGAGCAAAACCACGGACACACAGGTAAAAGTCTTACTGCAGCTCTTCTGTCACATTGCACGTCAGACAAGCAAGAATTCCTCATCGGATGGAAGACATTTCTTATGTGGATGGTTAGCATGGCTGATGAATGTCAACTAGTTAGGAAAGTTTACATAAAAATAAAAAAGAGAGATACAGCCAGGCCCTGATGAAGTTTGCTTTTTCAGCATTTACTGTGCTAATTTGGGGAGAAAGAAAAAAAGGAAAATGGGAAAATGTGGTAAATGGAACTGAAAGAATTATTTAATTATTAATAGCCAAAGTGTTTAATAAACAAACACAGAAGAGGTGGGAGATTTGTGAATAATGGGTGGAAAGTTATTTTTTTAATTGTTATTATTATTTTGATTTTTTTTTAGATAAGAGCAGCGATGATTTAATCCAAGGGTACTGAGGCTCTGGGAATAATTTTAAAGTCGGTGTCTAAACTTAGGATATTAATAACTGTGAATGTTAATTATCACTGCATACTGAAGATGCTGAATGCTGTATTAGACATAAGCCAGGAAATACTGGCAAAGAAATACTGAACAATTGACCGATAAAGTGTGCAGGCCTGCATGAACAAACAGCGGGATGCCCGTACAGTTAGTTACTATGATTTGTCGAAGGACAACCTATCATTTCAATAAATGTAATGTATTAGAACACTCTGATGAATAATGGAATGTCCAAGTGAACGACAGAAAAATTGTGAAAAACACAAAAATGATGAACAAAGGAACATGCAGATCCTGTGCTAGCAACATCACATTTACAATCACAAATTATACAAATTGACAAGAGGCTGAAAAATAGACAGAATTAAAAATTCTATCCAATATTTTCATTCTTTTATTGCAGGAAGCAAGAGTATAAGACATGTCTAGCAAAATATATTTAAGTTTTTTTCATGTTTTATGCCCATAATTTGACCACCAATGCTTTTGCTGGTTTTAAAAAAGTTGAGCAATATTATTTATCTGGTTAAATATTCTTTTCTTTTTTACAAACTTTTTTTTATAAATTTAACAAAATGTTACTTAAGCAATCGGTCATATCATTTTGGGAGCCAATTAACAAAAAAAAATCACTAGTTCCATTGATTTGGCTCAAAATCATCTCAATTGTATGTCAAATTGAGCAAGACTGCTGAGAGGCTTCGGCTGAAGTAGTTGAGATAATAGTTTCAGAAAACAGGAGCTCTGATAGTGATTAAGGCCTTTATTTCCTCGTGTCATTCTAGCTCTGTCTGGTTCTTTGTGAATTGATTTTAGGGGATGCTACACCCCTGTCCCACTTTCCTCCCTCCACCTATGCTGATATAAGATCAGATTTTTTTTTTTGTGCTGGTAGGACCCGCCAAATCCAATATGTCTGTGGATTCGGGTGAGTGCCTGTGGCAGTGATAACGTTAACACTTACCGTCATGGAAGATTGCGCCAACCTGGAAAGAGAGTTCGGAATCGTGTTCAGCCTCACAGGGGTACACAGCCTTGGCTTTCATGAGGGTGACACTGAAAAATGGAGGCAATCAGTTAGTGGACCTCTCGCTATTCGGAAGGGTGGGGATTAGGACACAACTTTCCAACTAGCTGTAAAGTGGACTCAGCCGAAGTTATTAATGGAAGAAGTCTGTGTGATTAACGTCTGTCTGTAAAAATCCCAGAGCTGAGCTTTGAAGAAGTTGAGAAGTATGATAGTCATCAAAGAGTAGATATGATTCAAACAGAGACAAATTCTCAAGCAAGTGTGGGCAGCATCCAGGCATATCCTGCCATTTATTACTCAAAAATTTGGAGCATGTTCTACAAAGCAGAGAACCGTTTCCACACCTTTTAATGCATTTCAATGGCTTTTTCATGACTTATCCAAACATTTATACTTACTGAATACAAATTTCAATAATCTTATCAAATACAAATTGTAATTGTACTCACAAAGAGCAATTTTAGTCAATTTTAGGCAACAAATCAAGCATCAATCATCACATCCATATATATATTAACTATAACCATCAAGACAAAACCATAACATATTATCATACTAAGTTTGACATCTGAGCCATTTTTTCAGTGCCAGCTTAAAACCTACTAAACTTCTAGTCATCTTTAGATTTCCTGGCAACCTGTTCCACAAGCTTGTTGCTACATACAAAAATGACTCTTTACCTAAATTACTCTTAACTCTAGGAGGTACAAAATCCGTAGAGCTGCCCCTGGTGGAGTAGCAGTGAACATCTCTCACTCTATTAAAATAATGAATCAAATATTTGGGGACATTCCCATGCACAGTCCTATGTACCTATACAACCGCAACATAACAAAGACGTCATTCCTGAAGGTCAGTCATTATTTTCCAACAGCTTTTTAAAAGATTAAAATACTTTAAATTGAATGAGTCTGATCACCTGCCATTGGGCATCATTCATTTTATACGATGGGAAGTTAATGCATCTTTGTGTCTGGATCAGAACTATAGATCATTGCAATGGTCCCTGCCTGGAAAGTGTGAGACTGAGAGAAAGTATGTGCATTTGTGTGTACAGGTGTGAGAGAGAGAGAGAGAGAGAGAGAGAGAGAGAGAGAGAGAGAGAGAGAGAGAGAGAGAGAGAGAGAGAGAGAGAGAGAGAGAGAGAGAGAGAGAGAGAGAGAGATCAGTTGTGTCGGCATGTAGGAGGAAAGGAAAAGTTGGCGAGTGTGTGAGTCGGAGGCTAAACAATGACAGATGAAGACTTTGCGAGTGAGTGAATGCATGTGTGATTGAGTTAATAGCCTGAGGCTGAGAGCTTAACTGAGACTTGGAGTGCGAGTGAAAGAATCAATGAGACAGTGAGAGAGTATGCGTGATAAAGGTTGAGCCAAAACCGGCCAACCTGACACTTAAATCAACAGATTGGAACAAATTAATTACATTCTATGAGAATGGATGAGTGTATAATACATGTTCTTCAGGGACAAGTGTGTTTACGTCTTACCTTTCCTCAGGTTTATTCTTTTCCTTTCCTACTGATCCAGGTTTCACCGGTGTAAGTGAGGCAGGGGAAGCATTATTCATCCATGAAGCCGTGGCAGAGCATATCCTGTGGAACAAAAAGCGCACCAAAAAATGTATACTGTAATGCTTTCCTAAAGTAAAAGACACCTATTTTAGAAATACTGCCAGTAAGTAGAAGAAAAAATAGTGACCCAGGTTTGGACTGATGTAATTTTGTTAAAATCCACAGATTGCATTCTTTTAAGCTTCTAAGCTACTTTTTGAACTACAAAAATATGAAAATCGTCTATTTATGCACATCAAAACATATAAACACAACACAGACAAAAAAGGGGGTTATAAAGACACAACAGATACACATTCTGCTGCATATATTCCTCCACACAAACCCCTTCATCATTATTCTTAGAGAGGCTGTGCAGCTCAGACAGTCTCACCATCTCAGAGAGGGTTAGAGAAGTGAAGGTTATGGGGGAAACTGCCCAACGTCCCTAAGAATCTGAAGGATTTAGAAAATGCAAGTAATGCAAATGAGCACTTTAGATTCGCAATAGCTGACAGCAGGATCAGGCACTGCACAAGATGCACTGCAAATATCAACATGAAATACAGTATTGACTACACACACACACACACCAACAAAATCCATAGTAAGTAAATGCACCTATTTGAGTTTATTTAAATAATATGTTCAATATGTATTTACTCAAACTCCTTAGAATCAGCAAATCAGCTAATTGTTAAAACAATTCAATTTAATCAGTTGAAAAGTATGAAATTGGTTTGGATAGAGCTAGTTGTGGAATAAGCAAGATTCAGTTGAAATTGGTTTACATATATTGGATTTATTGATGATAATCTGGTACACCTGGTTATTGTATATTTAAAACAAGTTTGTTTTATTAATACTGTAACATACATCTCATTCTTTAAACTGTGTATTCCAAATATTTTATATGCAATTGAAATACACAAAATCTAAATTATAGGCCAAAATATTTTTTGAGCATAATAACTTTTTTTATCGATTAATCAGTCGACAAAGTTGGATGATTGGATGAAACTTTACACAGACAAGGTTGACTAGAATAATGTTGTTAGCTTATATAATATTTAGTAGGGCAGTCAAATGATTAATCACGATTAATCACATCCAAAATAAAAGTTTTTTTACATAATATATGTGGGTGCACTGTGTATAATTATTTTGTATATATATAAATACACGCACATGCATGTATATTTAAGAAAAAAAATATTATTTATATATAAAATATTTATATTTATATATAAAATATTTATATATAATATAAATTATATCTAAATCTATATACAGTATATACATGAAAATATTTCTTAAATATATACAAGCATGTGTGTGTATTTATATATATATAAAATAATTATACACAGTGCACCCACATATATTATGTAAAAAAACCTTTTATTTTGGATGTGATTAATCACGATTAATCATTTGACAGCCCTAATATTTAGGTCTTGTGGCTTTAAACCTAGTCCGACTCAATTTCCAAAAATATCCCAAAATTCTAAAATACAAAAACAGTAATATTGTGAAATATTATTACAATTTAAAATAACTGTTTTATATGTTAATATTTGTAAAGTTTTATTTATTTCTGTAATGGCAAATGTCATTATGCCAGATGTCACATGATCCTTAAAAAATTATTCTAATTGTTTTGGCGCTCAAAAATTACGATCAATGTTGAAAAACGTTGCCCAGCTTAATATTTTTGGGAAAACCAATTTTTATTTAAACCAGCGTAAAATAAAAATAAAAATTGCCACCACCAGCATTTTCGTTCATTTTCACAAAAGTTGCATGGCCCCCAGAATATTTTGCTGTATATTTTCTGAACATACAATATATCAAAAGAAATGTGTGTGCAATATACCACTTGAATGTGGATAAGTTTTCATTTTGAGCAAAAAGCTGAGAAAAATCAAGCTTTTGTCAAAGACTACATCCAGATGGGATTCAGAACGATGATCAAAACATATGGAGTAGATCGAGTCCATCAGCCCCCCTGATGCTTGCACAGTCCTGTAGCTCGTCCTGGGTCGACATTTCATTCAGTAGCATTAGGCAGTTTTAATTTATATGCGGTTTAATGTCGATGATCGCATTATTTTACATATGCATATGATTACATATGATCCCGCTAGTCTCTGCTTCTTCTTCGCATGTTTTGATCAGGAGATTTAGTACTCTTTCAGAAGATGTATAATAGCGCTACCGTATAACAGTGAAAACACAGAAAGCCGGAAAATTCCGTCAATGGTGGGGAAAGAGTTCAAATAGAAATCTTTTGTAACATTATAAATGTCTTTACTGTGAATTTTGATCAATTTAATGGATTCTTGCTGAATAAAATTCTTACTGAACCCAATCTTTTAAATGACAGTGTACTTCTAATTTTCACTTGTTTTCTTAATTATGTATATTATACATTATGCCATAAATTGAGCTTCACTTAAATCTGGAATATCCGGATAACAGTTAAAACCAAGCCATACTCTTAATTATATTTGGGTAACACTGGTTTTGAATCTCAAGAGAATGGGGACAAGGAATGTGTGTGTGCTGAAGGTGAGGAGTTGTGAAGGACTCACAGAAGCAGGGATAGTGTCAGCAGAGGGGCAAATGAGGAGAAGCATAGTCCAGCAGGAGAGACAGAGGAACAGAGAAAGAGAGAGAAAGAGATATATGTGTACAGTATGTATAGAAAGAGAGAGATGCGGTGATTTATGACTCTGCAGTGGGTCTGTGAGTCCTCAGCTGCTGCACATCAGCATGAGACTCTAGCAGCGCTGCAGTGCAGCAAATCCACTCATTAACCTCACACCAGCCGCATGAATCCCAGCTAACACACCAAACACACTGCTTGATACATACCGTTCACACTCACACATTTCAAAACAAGGTTATGCTCACACATCAGATGTCACCAGGGTAACAGGATCACTCCAGAAAAAAGAAGGAAAAACAATGTTTGCACACTCTGAATCTGAATCGTCAAACTCCAAAGAAAAGCTAAATGAAGTGAAAAAAAAAAAAAAAAGATAAATAAAATCCAGTATGGTTGCCCTGGCAACCAGCAGAACCACAGGGAAATGGTTTCACCCCAAAATTGCTTTTACAATTACAACTAAGCCACAGCAAGAAAATCGCGCTCAAAATCAGCACTTAGCAAATAATTGCATCTTATGTCTTATTTTCTGATCCTCAAAAAAATGTCCTACTTGAAAGAGGCACAAAAAGAACTGAAAAACAAAAACTGAACGAATGTGTTTAACAACTCAACCCTTTAAGTGCTGCTTACTGGTAAACAATGTGTAAATATAATAAGTACATGCAACATTGGATATATAGTGGTCGATGACAAAAAAAAACCTTCAATAATAATTAATTGACCCTTCGCAGGGAGCTTGATTGACAGGTGATCTGACCAATCATACTTCGCCATCCGCCATTTTGTCCGACAAAGCAGTCAGGAGAGTTAGTAGATTAACATGGGAGGATTTGAACTTGAAAAACGGAATGTACTGACGCCTTTCTGCGGTTAAAACAACATTCCTTCTTATGCTCATTCATGTTTATTTGATGCTATAAATGAACTAGAAGGAAGAGATGATCGGATCACGAGCAGCTTTAACTGATGCTCTACGGCAATCTGTCATGACACATTAAAGAGCCACAAAACGGTATTTATTGTTTAAATTTCTTTAAAAAAAATGACCAAATTTGAAAGGTGAGACTTTGTTTAATATGTTTAATATCAAAAGTAACCGAAAAGTAACCTGGTCTGTCCTGTCTGTCAGCGTGTTGTCAGTCCGCGATGTATTTTTCACTGCGTGAGAACATGGTGTGTGTGTGAGAGCAGCGTAGCTTGTCGGACATAGCGACAGTAACTAAGGGGGGCGGGTCTTTGCGAACGGTCAATTGGTCACCATTTCCACTTTTTTCACAATTTTTCATCGATCCATGTATTCTTGCAATTAATGAATATTAAGTTTATATATACAGTATTATATACATACATAATTATAAATAATACAAATCAGTGTATCAGAGTAATTACAATTAATCCAAAAATGTGTTGTTGTTTTTTTTTTTTTTTCATTTTGCAGTCCAGAGCGTATACAGATCTATACATGCAAATACAGATTGATCTAGACTCTAGAGTGTATCTTTTGTATAACTGATAACATTTTTCAAAATTTTGCCAGTTGTGGATACACTGGATTAACTCTGGTGCTCTTCAGTCATTTTTGACAGAAAACTTTGTACGAAATTTGGTAAAGGTTTTGGCAATTGCCATGTGAACACACACACACACACACACACACACACACACACACACACACACACACACACACAAACACAAAATCATGGACATGATTTGAAAAGGTTAAATGGTCCTTAAAAAAATATTCACACTTGTGCTCCTCGTGATCAAAAATGGCCGCATTGGAAATGAATGGGAGATGATTTTCATCTAGTGGAAATTTTTGGTACTGCAGCCAAACAAAATCTTACTGAAAGCCCTTTTTTTGAGATATCAAGCTCAAATTTGGAACATGACTTGTTTAGATTTATGGCTTTGATTTTCTTGCAGTTTTAGAGTAAAACTTGTTTTTGAAAATATATATTTCATATAAAATTTAAAATAGCATTTTTGTAGCATTTTTTCGTAACAATAAAAATAAAATTCTGTAACTTCTTCACAAGTTCACTTTTTAAAAAAAATTTCCACTTTCACAATAATTTGCCACGTGTGGTCTTTGAAAAGAAATCAAAATTTAAGTTTGTGCTCTAAAGCATTCAAGATTTACGACATTTACGAAATTTAATTTTCAGGTCTATGCTCAAAAAGTGAATAAATGGATTATAACTACAGTGTAAATATAATTTAGTAGCCTACCATAAAATCAACTAAAAATACAAAATATTAAATAAAAAACATTATCGAACTAAAATATAGTACATACATTTCATTGAAATTATAAATTTTTTTTAAACATGAAGAGCACCAGATTAAAGAAACATTATGTGTTGTA